ATAAATAAATAAATAAATAAATAAATAAATAAATAAATAAATAAATAAGTAAGTAAGTAAGTAAGTAAGTAAGTAAGTAAGTAAGTAAGTAAGTAAGTAAGTAAGTAAGTAAGTAAATAAGTAAATAAATAATATTGGAGCAGATGTTTCATTGCCTTGATATTTGAATATACTTATCTGTACTACGATGCGATTTTTGCCTCCCTTCTAATAATACTCATGTGCCATCAAGTCCATTCTGATTTCTGGTGATGCTTTTCAGGGTTTTCTAGGTAGAGAGTATTCAGAAGTGGTTTACCCTTGCCTTCTTCTGGGGGAGTCCTGGGACTGTGCAGCTTGCCCAAGGTCACCCCTGCTCCTGGGGTGCACAGTGGGGAACTGAACTGTCATGCTTTTCAGGGTTTTCTAGGTAGAGAGTATTCAGAAGTGGTTTACCCTTCCCTTCTTCTGGGGGAGTCCTGGGACTGTGCAGCTTGCCCAAGGTCACCCCTGCTCCTGGGGTGCACAGTGGGGAACTGAACTCCCAACCTCTGGTTCCACAGCTGGATATTTAACTTCCTTCTTGTTGTCACCATCATTTCTACTTTTTGCATTTCTTTTCTCCCTTGCCCCCCTTCCCCCCCAGCATAGATGTACAGTGGACCCTCGACTTACAGACAGCTCGACTTACAGACTTTTCGAGTTACAGACTTCTCTGGCTGCAAAATTTAGATTCGACTTGCAGCCACCATTCCAATACGGATTAATTCCTTAAGTAGAGGGTCCACTGTAATATCTGTTGAGAGGCGAAACTCTCTGTCTGATCAATCGGGATGCAGTTTACAAAAGCTTATGTCCACCATATCAGTAAGCTTCTAAGGTGTCGTAAAACTTTTTGTTGGTTTTAGCACAACAGACTCATACAATTAATCCCTAAAATATTAATATATGATAAGCAGGATGGCTGTTCATGGATCTCCTGCCCCCTTCTGTAGTAAAAATGAGTGGTATATACCACACAAACTGTGCTGGGCTTCATAAACATAGCCTGCTGCCTCAGTTGGTATGGAGGATGCTATCTGATTTCTAATGTCCAAATAAGATTCATCAGTCAAGTCAGCTTGAATATATGGACTGGATGTTTTTTTCCTTTGCTTCAGGCAGCAAAATGCATCGGGCTGGTCTGAGTCAGAAATAGTCAAAAGATCTGCCTTTGACTTTTAAAACCATGAAGAGGTCTTATTGCCTCCCCTTATCAGCTTTCTGGAGCCTTCATAATTATCACTGAAGCCAGACCAAAGCTGTCCTATTCCTCTAAGAGTTTCCTTCTAATTATTTCTTTTACTGTTTCTATTTTTTTGCTGTTTATTTACAAAAAGTCTTCTCCTTGGTATGAAACATCCTGGAGGTAGGAGAACATAATAAAAATATTACTGTGTGCCTGTGAAGATGTTTGAGCCCTTTCTGAGTTAAAAAAATTCTAATGCAATCTCAGTGGAAGTGGGTGGCAGTCCTTTGAAGTATGAAGATGGGCATGTATGGCCCTTTGAACCCTGGGATCTATCCATCCTTGCATTAGACGATTGAACTCAGGTCCAGAAAACTAGATGACTTAGGGCTAGTCACCAAGCTGTGACCTAACCCACCTCATATGCCTCTTGTAAGGTTAAAAAAAGGAGCTGTAACCTTGAACTTATGAGAAGAAAAATGGCAGTGAAATGTCATAAAACAGGCATAAAAGATTTTATGTATCAAAACGTTTTATGTATAAAAAAGAACATTTTTATTTTACAAGAGAGAGAGGGGGAGAGAGAGAGAGAGAGAGAGAGAGAGAGAAACAGTGGCTGTCCTAATTTCATAACTGGCTGCCAACAACTGTCAAACCTACAGTTCAATGCATTCCAATGGGGGGAAAAATTTCACCAAAAATTAACGAAGACTCAGAACAAAGCCAAATTAAGTTTGCAAAGGTTTTACAAGGTGCACTAACGATTCCAAGCATTTTAAACAGTTTTTGAACATTTTAAGACACTTTAAAAATAGCGAAAACGGACCTGTCAAAACCATTGAAATGCATTGAAACCTATTCAATGCATTCCAATGGGGGAACCACGTTTCGCTTAGCGATGTTTCCTATGGCGATTTTCGCTTAAGGACGGTAATCCATTCCCATTGGAATGGATTATCCGGTTTTCAATGCATCTCTATGGGAAAATGCGTTTCGCTTAGCGATGTTTTCCCATAGCGATGTTTTTTTTGGAACCAATTAAAATTCTTAAGTGAGTCACCACTGTAGATACTTTCTCCGGGTTACTTCAGCTACTCTTCACTCTGAGGTCAGCAAAGCAAAAAAAGCAAAGCGTGCTGCTTATATACCGCCCCATAGCGCTTCAAGCATTCTCTGGGCGGTTTACAATTTAATTATGCAGGCTACACATTGCCCCCCCAGCAAGCTGGGTACTCATTTTACCGACCTCGGAAGGATAGAAGGCTGAGTCAACCTTGAGCCGGCTACCTGGGGTTTGAACCCCAGGTCGTGAGCACAGTTTTAGCTGCAGTGCAGCGGTTTAACCACTGCGCCACGAGCAGTTTCCCATGTTCATCTAGCCCAGTATTATCTACACTGATAGGCAATAGTATTCCAAGTGTTAGGCTGTGGTAGAAGTGGGAATCTTTTGCACCCATAATTGAAATATCAGGGATTGAACATGGGCCTTTTTGCATATGACTCCTGGTGTTCTAATGCCAGGCAATAGGCTTTTTCTGGCTCGCTGTTGGAAGCAGGTCTGTCATTCCAAACACCAAGAGGCAGAGCCAAAAGTTGAACTGAGGAATTGCGGGAGAAAATGGGAAAGCTTTTAGGCTTCTGTTCCCTTCTTGCGGTTCTGGGGCTGTTGATGTGGCCAGTATGATCTTTGTGTCATTGTGATCTGACAGACTTAAGTAGAGGAGTTGTGAAAGATGCTGCGTTTCAAATAGAGCCTAATCTCTATTCACTTATAGTACTCTGCTCTGTACAGCCCCCACTGTTTCATATATCATAGAGGAGCATCAGTACATCACTGCGGCGGTTCCCAGCTGCAGTTTGAACAGCCAGTTTCAACAGGTTAAGAGTAAACCATGTAATTTTAAAGGGTTTAGCAATATTTCTAGTGGCCAATTGCCAATAGAGATACACCCATAGGAAATATTTATACAGTACATATATTTCCTTCCAAGAAAAATATAGGTACGCAAAATATCTGGAGTGGCTCAGCTGTTTCTCAGCCTCTTTTACAAGGAGGCAGAACCTTCCAAAATCTTCTGAAGCAGGACAGAAACTTAAGAGGTGGCTGAAATTCTCCATCTGTTTTTGTGTGATTGGAGCAGATAAAAGAGAGGCCAGTTATTTTAGGTGTGTCTGTTCCTCTGGAGGATTATAATGCAATAATAAAGTGGCTAGGTAATATGTATTTCTTAAAATTGATTTGCACAATTCATTGTAAAACAACTAACTTGTTGTCACATACTGTCACTACTATCAGGAACCAAGTACTGTAAAGGAGTTTAGAAGTTGGCATATTTTAACATGTGCAAAGGATTTCTCTGAGCTACTACAGGATGAAAATGGATGGAAAATGTTGCTACCAGCTCCTCCAACTGAATGCAAATATGGGGGGGGGGTGAACATAGACACAAAGGTGTTAATAATGCATACCTTCTGCTACTTGATCTACGGAAGGAGCTCAAAGTATGGGATGTTTAAAGAATGAGGGCTTTAGGACCCATGGGAGTCCTCAATAGCAGGAAGTGAAATTCTTCTAAAAGCCAGCAAGAGTCCAGGCTTTAACATCAGACTTTTGCAGAATCGGGGAGAGAAGGACTGACACACTACAAAGGGGATCAGTGCAGACAGGAAACCGCCTGGACCCAAAAAGTCATGTATTTCTTTTTACTGCTGGCTTTCCCTTTTCAGCTGGTATTCTGGATCACCACTGCAGGTAAGACTCTTAATTGTTGGTGTATTTCCATCCCTTGTTGGTGCAGAATGCATTACCTGATCACTTGGACTTTAATTCTTTATTTTATCTTACCCTTTTGAAAGTTGAAATGGAAAAGAAGACAAGTATAAGAAGCTCAAAAGTGGCTTTCAATATTAGATTTCTTTTCCCTGAAACTGATAGAGCAAGAGATTTTGATCATGCTCGTTTTGTGATGAACGGTCTCTTTTTGGCTGGAGATGAGAGGACAGCTGATGCTGAGTTGTGGGTTACTGAGGCGGGAAGCTTATTACGCTAGCCTGCACATCATGATTCAGAAACAAAACGCCTTACCCTGTCTTTTTCCGGTGCTGAAAATGCTTTGCTGTCATTTTTGCGGAAACCAGTTGTATAGAGGACTAAAAGATTACCTTAGACAAGTGGCTTATAGCTAATAGAAAAGAGAGAAAACTTTGGGAATATGTGCTCAGAGCAGAAAAACTAGCAAGTGTGGAGGGTGTGTGTGGATAAAGAGGAGAGATCTGGATGTGGGTGTGACAGCTACCTAGGAGAGATGCATAAGGAGAGTATCAAATGAAAGCCCTAGGTAGCTTTGTTTACCATTGTTAGATTTTCTCTGAACCTCAGAGGGAGTGATTTGGGGACTCTAGAAACAGGGAAGGGAGGCTGAAAAATAAAAATAAAATAAACTGATTTCAGATTGAAGGATGGCTGTAGGAGCAGGGAGAAGATGAATGCTTACTTTATTTATTTATTATACGTCATTTTATTGCCAGAACAACTCTGGAAGCACATTATGATGTTAGAACAATCTAGCTTAGCATCTAACCTAGAATGCTGTTTAAATAGAATAATAATATGGGATGCTTGGTTTGCATATTATAAACTGTGTCACTAGTAATGCTTCTGAGACTAGTTTGGAACAAAGGTGATCCCCAAAAGCCTGGAACTTTGTGGAGTGCAATCTATAGTGAACTTTTTTGGGCTGTGTAAGGACCTGTGAATTCCTTGCATGGTAAAAGCAGCTTTGTTGCCTAATACTTAAAGCAATAACATTAATAATAAAAAGTGGCAGTGGTAATGAGTCAAGAATGTACAGTAATGACTTTTGAATGAGGTATTTTATTGTTATTGTATTTTTATTTATTAGGGGGGGTGCTGGCTACCGTATTTGTTGTCTGCATGTGATATTCTGATATTATTTGTCACATCAGAAAGAAAATAAAACAGATGTTTAAGACCTGTGAAACACAGTAGGATTTACTTCCAAGTAAACATGCAGAAGATTGTGGTAGGCATCATTTGTTAGTTTGGCAGCTAGGAGTCCCAACTTGAGCACACATTTAAGCATAGTTCAGAGTGTATGTTTGTTCTGAATCATACGTTGTTCTAAGTGAGCCACATTTATTTTAATAGAGAATTGTGTTTAAAAATCAGTGTCACAAGATAGAAGCCTATGGTATTTCGCATGTTGGTGTTTTCTGTTTTTTTTAATCTCTTGTAAAGATGTCACTCCCTTTTTTAAAACAGGCACAGATATGCACGCATGTAAACAGCACTTTTCCAAGCTGCATCTGGTTGCTTTACATATGATTAGCGACTGTCAGACTCCACTCTGGAGCCCTGAATTTTCAGTCTATATGTAGGTTCTTCAGACTACCAGTGGGCTTCTTAATCTCTAGTTTAAACTATTGTCATGCTAAATGTGGAAGACAGGGGAAAAACCAGAAATGTTAAAAGAAAACATTATTACAGTATCTTGTCTAACCATTGACAGTAGACTTGGAAGGTATTGGATCAATGACATAAAAGGTGCTGCTTATAGTACCGCATATACAGTTTAGAGAATTGAGAATCACAACTTGTATCCTTACTATTTTTGAAAGAAGGTTTCTAACCTATGCCCCACAGAATAGCCTTCTCTAGGCTGGTGCCTTCCAGATATCTTGAACAATATGTCCTGTAATTCCTATTGATCTTGCTGGCTTGGGCTTCTGGATGTAGAAGTCCAGAACATCTGGACAGCACAAAGTTGGAAGGTATGCAAGTGGCTTAACTGCGTACCTTCCAATATTCTGAAGTTGGCGGTAGAGAGATGTTTGTAACATCCCTATTGTCATTGTTTTACAATTGGAGAAACCTCCCACATGGTGCTTTGCCATTGAGGCAGCCCTCTTTTGTCTTCCATATGCCAGTATTTCTACAGTATTTGAAAACCAAAAGCTTGAATGTTCTGGAGGTTAATGATGTCCTAGAGCAGAGGTGGGAACCATGTGCCCTCAAGTCTGTTTTGACAGCCTCTGGAGCTCTCCCCAAGGGGAAAATCAAATGCATATTCTGCCCAAAAGGAAAAACACATTTTGTTTTAACAAAATTACGATCTCAACCACACCTTCGTCTCTATCAAAGATTGACCTGCTTCCAGACACAGAGTGACATAAGACACACATCATGGAATCCCTGTGGAGAATGTGGTGGCCTTTTTGAACCAGGTAGTGAGGAGTCGCAGACTGAAACATAATAAATTTGTTGATTTAGTTAATTCTTTGTTTGTTACCTTGTACATCTGGTTTTAGCAACCATTTGGAAGAAGGCACGAATAAGGTAAAAAAATGGGACAGTTATTAGAAAACAGGAGCTGCCACTGCTAAATATTTAGTAATCCAGAATTTCAGTTCTTGACTGAATTAAGTACTTCTGTTGAACTCAGGTAAATTTGAATGTGGTGGTTGCTTTGTCCTCGTAGAGTTGTACTAAATAGGGTGGGTGGGCGTGAGTAGAATTTTTGTAAGCAAACATCTCTCCTCCAGCAGGAGAGTAATAGGGAACAGAATGGGGGGAAACTTGAGGAAGACTATTCCATTAATGGCACAGAGCAAAGACTACAGTATAAAGAAAGCATGTGACGTATTTTCAAAACTAAAAGAAGCGATGGGAGAACTAAAAGAAGCAAAGCTGTCTGGAGAAGGGGTTTCAAGTGTTTTTCAATGGTGTTCTTTTGACTTTGAAACATAACAGGGCTAATCCTAGAAACTGGGAAAAGAACCCTGTTAACATATGTTCCAGTGTTTCTGCTCTTTCTCACTGTTTCTTGAGGTACTAGGCCTTTAATACCCATTTTTAACTGATTTGTGTGTAATCAAAGCAAAAGTGTTACAGAGAATAAAAACATAAGTGCACATTTATACAATTTACTTGGCAAGATGTATTTTTCTTTACAGTTGTGTTATTGAGGCACAGAATATTGTTTCTCCTTAAGCATCTACATACACATTCATGTGCATACACAGCATATCAACCTCAAATTGAGGCTTTGTCTAATGTGTAGGAGTCAGGATAGGAAAGACTGATTCACACAGTTTCTGTCATTAATTACATGAGAAGTCTAAACTTTTCTTAGGTACATGTTTGCAGAGACAAAGTGATGTCAACCAAGCAGTCACAGAACTGGTAGTAAGTTCCATGATTCTGGTGGCTGTTGCTTCTGTCTGAGTATACCTAGCTCAAGATGTAACATCCCTTGGTTTCTGGTTATTGTCTGTGACTGCTTGGCTGTGTTGTTCGAATGATCCCACAAGAATCTATGAAAACAGAGTGAATTGTCAGAAGTCAGATTCTGATTGAATAGAAATATGAGTATATAATTATCAGTTGAATATCGAGATACTGAATGCTTTTGGGGAGTTGGTGCTAGTTTTAACTTGTGAAACAACAATATTTTCTATATGCAAATATGTTAATTTGGGCAAATAAAAAATTATTTTTGTTTCCACAGAATGTATCTATTTTATAGGCCCTTATCTTGTGTTTATAATCTACCTTCAGACATTCGAAGCTTGCTATCTCCTGTGGAGATAGTGCAATAATAATGTTTGAGAGTTCCCAAACCCTTGCAATTGTTTTTTCATTGTTGAACCTCATTGTGGATTATAGCCTGGTATTTAACAATAATTAATAAAACAGGAAAGTTTGGCACAAGTACAGGGATATGAAAGGTGGTGAGAGAAAATCCTTGTATGTAAAAAGAAGGGCTTGAGACAGGCGGGACAAAGCCTGTGAGGCACTACAGGTGAAAAAGCATTAATGAGGATCATGTAAGGAGAGCCAGTCTTCATTTGTTCCCTGTGATGTATGAAGCTAGAAACAAAACACGCAGGTGGCACTTTTGCAGTAGGATAGTAGTCTTGTGCAACATGTGCCAACAGTACAAGCTGAACAGAAAATGAATGCTAATGGAAACCTTGCTAATGAGTTCTATTGAGACAGTATTTATTCACTGGGATTTTCAGGAACACCTTACCTGTCTGGGAAAGCAGCCCAGCACAGAATGTTTATTGATAAATTCACATGGTAGCTTGGTTAAAATTCTGTATTTATTTATTTATTTATTTATTGCATTTATATGCCGCCCATCTAGACATGGTCTACTCTGGGCGGCTCACAACATACAAATAGAAAACAATTTAAAATATACACAATTTACATCGATACAAACAGAAAAATATATAATCAAAGAACTTACAGTTTTAACAATCAATTTAAAGCAAAGCAAAGAGTCCCAAGATGGCATGAGTTAAAAGGAAAGAAATAAGAAATAAGTATCACTTAATTGACTGAAGGGAAGGCCTGCTTGAATAGCCAAGTTTTCAGTTGGCTTTTGAAGACACCCAGCGAGGGTGCCAGACGAATTTCGGTAGGGAGGGTGTTCCACAGCCGAGGGGCCACCGCTGAGAAGGCCCGGTTTCTTGTTTTTTCCTTCCGGGCCTCCCTTGGCATCAGACCCCTCAGCCGTCCCTGCTGCCTATGTCAGGTGATTCGGGTAGATCTGGGTGGGAGAAGACGATCTGCCAGATATTGAGGTCCCAAACCGTTTAGGGCTTTATATGTAATCATTAACACTTTAAAGTCAAAGCAGCCAGAGTGGGGGAGATATGTTGGTATTTTCTCACCCCACTGAGAAGCCTGGCTGCCGCATTCTGGACCATCTGAAGTTTCCGCGT